TTTGCCCAGTTATATCTTGCCAATAGATTCTCATTGAATCAATGCAAATAACTGTGTTTCCATGAAAAGTAAGGAGTCTCTGTAACAGTTTTCTTAAATTCTGGGCAGTCAGTGAGAATTGGGTATCATTTCTTAAATGTTTTGATTTAACTTATAATAACAGAGTTTACGAAATTGTGGGTTAGAGATAGCTTTAAAATAAGAGAAAAGGCATCCTCATATATCCAGAAAATAGAACATTAAAACAACATCAACAGTATTCCAGACAAATAACCACAATAGAATTTCCCTGTTCTGTTCATTCAGTTCTATGAATGAACTGTAATTAATTCTTGTTCTGATGGTTCTTGGTTTAGCCGTTCACATTCATGAAGCCATCTGCATTCAGACTAAAAAGGGTCCAGAAATCCAAGGAAATCCTGACTCAATCCACTGGCACAGCTTAAAAATTATCTAAGCAATGTCAGCTCAGCGGCCTGTGCCAAAGAGTCTGTTCTTTGAAATATCAATATTTTAAAATACCTAGTACAAATAGTTCTTTTCCATGAAACTCTGAGGCTATCCTTTATTGAAGTCACAAACTCTATAGTAGGGCCTTCAGGCAAGGATCAGAATAATACAGAAATTATCTACAGATTATAGAGATTTTGTAACTTAAGGGTTAATTTGTAATTGTGACCAATGATATCAGAATGAGGGAAAGTAAAATTCCCCATTGGGATATGCTATATAACTATTTCCTAAGAATTGTGATCAGTATTTCCCCATGGGTAAAAACATATTATAGACAATAATGACATCAGGAAATCTCCACAGTCTTCCAATAAAACATATAATTTCTGAAATACTAAGAAAATTTTTTACTTACTGACACTTAACCTAGGGCCGGCTGAGCATCTCTTCTGATCTGACAATTATTCCCATTTACTCTTAAAATAGTAACACATCAAACAAATGTAATTATTTATAGCATTTCTTTTTTAAATTTTTTTTTCCTTTTTCAGACAAGGTCTCACTGTGTCACCCAGGCTGGAGTGCAGTGGTATGACCACAGCTTGCTGCAGCCTCAACCTTTCAGGCTCAAGTGATCCTCTGATCTCAGCCTCCCTAGTAGCTAGGACTATAGGCGTGTACCACCACATCTGACTATTTTTTAAATTTTTGTAGAGACAGGGTCTCACCATGCTGCCCAGGCTGCTCTCAAATTCCTTGGCTCAAGCAGTCCTTCTGCCCCAGCTTCCCAAAGTGCTGAGATTACAGACATGAGCCACTGCACCTCACCACATTGCTCTTTTTGTAAGACAAGGGAGCAAGTCTTTATGATTTTCTAGGACCTCCTTGGGAAATCTTCAGGCATAAAACACATCCTAAAAATTTTATTTTTTCAAAACAGAGGTTCAGTTTGGAAAGGCAAAACCAGGGTTGTATATAGTAAGACATTCTTCTTCAAAGGGGTTAACGTGTTTAAGTTCCCTTGTCCGTTGTTCCCTGCTCTCAAGGCCAGACTTCCTTACTCTCTGTGTTCCCTTGCCCTGGGAAACAACCTTCCTCTCAGTCTTTACCTATAGAGCCCACATTCCACATCTGCTACTCCCTCTGTAAATCACCCCTCCCGTTGCAATGCCCCCTACCCCCACCGCCAAAACTGTTTTCCCACCAGTGTAACCGCATCCCTGCACTTCTCAAGTTAGCCAACCGAGTTCAGCTTAGATTGTGCAGTCCAACTCTAGCCAATGGAGACTGGACACAGCAGTAGGAGCCAATGCGTTAGGGATAAAGCCACTGTTTTCCTTTGGTCGGTGTGCTCTTGTGGTGACCAGACTAACGAGCAGCACCCTTCTGCAGAAGTAAACTTTGCCTTGCTGAGAAATCAACTGTCAGAGTGTTCATTTTATTTGTTACTTCAGGCTTTATTTCTAACAAGAGTTGTCAAGGGAATTTTAAGTGGGGTAAGATAGGAGCACGGCTGCTTAAGAAGCAATACCTGGTTATCTGTATAATTAAAGCAGTAAAACATTTAAAAATAAGCATAGATGATGACACAATTTTAAATAATTTAAAATTCTTTTCACACGTGAGTACTTCTTCTCTCTCTTTTTTTTTCTTAAGAGCATTAATCGAGTCAACATTAAAGTACTGAAAATAATTCTGGTGAGACACAGAATCCCTGCTAGCTAGGCAGATTCCACAGAAGGTAAAGAATATCCTTTCACATTGTAGGCATTAATCAGTAAACTAACTAAGCAAGCCATCAAAACTGAGGGAACTTAGCCAAAATTGTAATGCATCTTACAGCTTTTTTTCAGACTAAAGTATTATAAGCCAAAGCAAGTAAAACTCGCTTTCCAAGTTTTGTCCTTCATTTTTCTCTTTCATATTCCAGAACAAATTGACACTTTAGTATTGCCTTTTTCATCTTCATTCTCTCAAAAGTATACAGTGGAGTTTTCCAGAAGCTATAAGAAGTGATATTATGGTTATGATATATACAGAAAGATGATTATCCAGCTCTCCTGTTAAGTCAGATATTAGAAAGACTTGCAAAAATATTAAAGAATGTCATTTTTCTCATCATAATTTTTTGTTTTGGAAAATGTCTTTTTTTTTTTTTTTTTACAAAATATGTGACATGTTAAAATGAAATGGATTCATCATTGCTGTTTTCAAATGAATTAATGTTTTTAAAATTTCTCAGTTTTATTTCCAAATACAGTAAACATTGATCATTGTCACTTATTAAACCAAAGCTCTTTGGTGTCCTCAAATAAGTTTTAAGAGTATAAAGGGATTGTGAGACCAAAAAGTTCAAGAACCACTGCTTTGATACAAAGCTAACCTGTTTTTCTTCGAAAAACAAAAACCATTGTATTTCTTTTTCATTAATGCTCCTGGCATAATCTCAACCCACCCATTTAAATTATAATAATTAACCAAAGAAACTAATTTATATTTCACAGAGAAAATTAGGAGGAGGGAGGATATGGATAAATCATCCCATATAATCATTTTAGCAGACTAGCAGAACTCATGAACACGCATTACTGAAATTTCCATAGTGACATAAGGCACTTTTACATTCCCTTAAAGTGGCAAAAAATGAACTCATGTATTGACACAACTCAAAGGTATAGCCTCGCTATAGCATAGAAAAATAAGAAGCAAACATATGTAAACTTAATATTATGCTTTATACAAAATCACAGTATTCTTACTTATGTAGACATTATCTAAGTATCCAATGGTTATTGATTAGCTCAGGTTAACATTAGTCCATTTTGTTACCTAAGGATCTTGGAAATTATCTTTAAGTTGATATGCTACAAAATATAATTGCTATTCATATAAAAAAGTTTGTCAGAATAATTCTTCAATTCAGCTGAACACAATTTATATTTTTAATAATCTTAAACATTATGTATGAGCTCATTTGACCAGCTATCCTGAATAAATTTAGGATAAATAAAAATAAAACGCACACTTGTATTCTGTTCAACACTAATAAATCAGAGAAAGATGTAACATTTTAAAACCTATGTTACTAGTCTCATTTGCCAAATGAAACTTAATTTTATGAACTTGGATTCTTAAAATATTACTGAATTGGCTAGCAGTTTCTGTTAAAAGAATTTGTATGTTTAAGTCTAGCAGGTTCACAATATTAGAGGTTTGATGTTCTGTGATTTTAGGAGGACTCAATTTAGAAAAGCACTTGTTTATCTCTATCAGACAATCAGAACAAGTTCTTTTAATTTAAAAGGTATCGTAATCCCATTTATTGACACCCTCTGGAAATAGGAAAGCATTCCACACACAGCAAGAGGTGAAGGCTCCTCTGGATTATAAACACATAGAGCTTAATAGCTTTAGGTTTTCAACTTCAGCCACAGATCAAGAATAAACAGAAACACACAAAAAATCACCAGTCCAGATACCAAAGAGCTGTTCTCCTTCCCAGTAGAAACAAAATTCTTCATTGATTTGAGCTCAAAATAGACAACCATACCAAAAAAAAAAAAAAACCAAGAAACTATATACCCTATTCTCTCACCCAACAAAGACAGATCTCTGTAATCCATTGTTAACAATCACTCAGACCATGAAACTAAATTCTCCATCATCTTTGCTGCCAAGAAGGAATAACTTGTCAGTCCTGCACAAACTAGAAAGAAAAACAGAATCAGGAGAGAGAGAATAAAAACTAGAGAAATGGAGAGCCTGTGAAATTCAGGTCTGTTACTACTATGGATTCACTCTGGGAGCCAAGAAAACGCACGGCTGGTCCTAAGCCACTTGTGAGGTACACACCTGAGGCAACACAGTTTACCTGGCTGTGTCAGGTAAATCCGGTGGGCATCTCAACGGATGACCTCCAAAACTCTTCAAGGATAATTTTGTAAAAGGGAAAATCATGACTCTTGAACAAATATAAAATGAACATATGCTATAGATTTTAATTACTTGAGGAAGGAGGGAACCAGTAAGAAGTTACAGTCCATTCAACAATCAGCTTTTTTCCTTAAGTGTTGTAACTGACAGATTACCTCTTCCTGGGGCCTGAACGTGTCAAGGAGCATTCAGACTTATTTTAAATCCCGGATACTCCTCTGACCTTTAGCATGCTGAAAATTCCATCAGGTTTCTAAGATCTACACTTGGGGCTCAGAGTGAGTGAGCACATTGGCTGACTTTGCCGAGGTTTCTGCAGCGAGGCCTTGCATTTGTTCTCCTAAACTGTCACTAACCCTTGGTTTCTTTCACAGCGACAAAGTCCAGGCCCTCTCCTATGCGCAGCACACGCGACAGCTGATC